CTTTAAAAAAGCAAACCTTGACCATAACTTTTAAACAGTTAGGGCTAGTGCTTTCATACTTTACATATTTTATCCTTATGACAAGACCTTTCATTTGATAACAATAACTTTGACCCTTTGACCTTGACCTTGGAATTTGACCTACTTTTTAAGAAAATGAACGTTGACCATAACTTCTGAACGGTTAGGGCTAAAGCTTTCATGCTCTACATAAGTATTTTATGTGGCAAGACCTTTAATTAGAGTCGCACGCTTGGCGCAGTGGTTAGAGCGTCTGCTCTAGAGTCACGAAGTAAGGAGTCAATCCTTACGTCGCGGGTTCGAATCCCACTGTGGGACGTGGAGACCGGTCCTTCGGATAAGACCGTATAAACCAAGGCCCCGTGTCGCAGTAGGTGCTGGCACGAAAAAGATCCCTCACTGGTCAAAGGCCCTGAGTGCCGAGCATAGGACAAAATTTGTAGCCCTCCACCGGCAAGTGGAGTCCATATGAGTGAAAAATTCTCGAGAGGGACGTTAAACAACATACATTCAATCAATACCTTTAATTAGATACTAATTACATTGACCTTTTGACCTTGACCTTAGAGATTTTTGTACTTATTGAAAAAAACTTTAACAATGGCTTATTTTCAAATTTCACAATAGTTTTCCAGTGAGAAAACCCTAATTTTGTTACTAATTAATTAAATTTGCATTTAAGAAAAGTTTAATCTTTACTCCATACGGGGGCATCTGTATTTCACAAACACATCTTGTTATATTGATATTTCAAATGGGACATTGCAATTTGGACCTGCTCAGTTAATTGGTATATAAATAATGTCAATTTATGAAGGTAGTGAATCTACCTCTTTGTGGCATGGTTTGAAAAGAACATTGAGAAAAATATTAAGTTGTTTTTCAGCAATAAAAAGTAAACAGATATTTTGAATATTTTTTCATGATGTCTTCTTTCTGAAATTTAAAAACATAATTTCAGGAGATTGGTTTAAAAGAGTAAACCATCTACATAAGGGGAATTCTAGCATTTAGCACCCGATGCAAAGTACGATTGTGTTCTATTGTGACACGTGTGAGCTTGACCTGTTTGAACAGTGTAAAGTCAAACATATTAATTTAGATACAATGCACCATGATGTTATGATTTTTCGTGAAAAATATAAAAATGTCCTCAAGCAAGAGACCTGTGTGAGACATCTAGACATGTTTTATGAAAAATATTGTCACACATGCCGAATTCCTGTCTGTTTCGAATGAACAGAACACGGATATTCCAACATATTAACTTTTTTTCAATGAAACTTCAGAAAACACGAAATATTGGACATTAGAACCGTTTACAGAAATATCCGTCGACAATACAAGGGAATCATCCTCAAAAATTATGAGTGAGACTCTCTATAACAGCTGCTTTATCTTGTCAAGAATCAAATCCGATGTAAAAACTTATCACGCAGAAATCTAAAACCATCGCACAGAGATGTTAGTAAAAGTCACGAAACTAAAGAATCTCATTAAAACTGATATGCGTGATGTGAACGTCAGTCTTCAAATTTTGATGATCCAAAGAATACAGCAACATAGACAATTGGACACCTCGCAAGCCTAGAGTACTATGAACTTAGATATTAAGAATTAGCACGAAAACCATTAAAATTCATTTTATTCCTTCAAGAAACCCATTCTCTTACAAAATATGCTTTACTCTCTCTCACTAAAAAAATTCAAATTGGGAGTGTGGTTAAATTACTAAGTGAAATACAGGTTTCGGAAACAGATAAAAGAAAAGTAAGAAATTATTGCGTGCTGAAACTGATGTCTTCACTTCTCTTGCTTAAATCTATGATAGCGACGGACGTTTCTGCTAAAGGACACATTTCCCATTCGAAATCAGAACGCGTTTTGGTGAGTGATATCAACAAACTCATCCTGACAACTGCAGAAGATGACGCACTACATCATCTGACAGATATAAATAGTTATTATGAAGTACACACGGTGAACGCTAAAGATAATCTTATTTATATCGACATGCATTTTAACATTATCAAAATATCTAATTTCAAAGGTAATACAGCGAAGTCTACATTGATAAAGGAAACACGTTCTTGGAAACCACTCTGTGTCTACTGTTCTCCTTTTAATGGAGATATTCTGGCAGGGATGTGGTATTACGGAAAAACAGACAACGTGAACCGTTACAATTACACAGGACATCACATACATGTACAGACGATTCAGTATAGCGGCATAGGTGCGACACTGTACAGCTATATCCTGCCTTTATCACTGAGAACCGCAATAGAGATGTTATTGTATCTGACACTTGCCTTGATGCTGTAATTGTTTGACACTTTTTATTAATTTTATAAGGTGCAAATATTTAAAAGAACTTAGGGAGGAAGGAGCTTAGAATCTAAGACACAACGACAACGGGGTAAAAGATGAACGCCACATGAATTTGACCAACAATTTACCTAGACAAAATAGGAAGGCAATGAGTCATATATATTTTATATTTAGAACATATATGTATATATTTTTTTTATTTTCATAAACATAAGTGATAATCATTTATCAGACGGGTTCGATTGCTAATTTTAGTTTTTGGTCTGTTCATCATACTCTTTTTCTATCTGATGTTAGAAACGTTTATGTTTATGTTTTATTTTCAGGCTGTGGCAATCCCCCTTTTGAAGCTTTCCTTAAATTATTATTTTAGTGTCAAAAGAAAATAAAACATTCAGCATGAACATTATTATTAAAGATGTGAAAAATATTTCCGAATTGCATTATGTGCTTCTCTATTAGGCTATTTAAGAGTCTGTCAAAATTTAAAGCTGTGTTTTTAAACATTGTAATATATATTTCAAATAAAAATGTTCTTTATCAGACATTGGGTGTTGAAGAAAATGATATGAATTTTTCAATATCATCATTTTGTCATAGGGCTTAATTCTAGATCATAACCATAGATATGCATGTGTGACAGGATTTGGTTTTACCCTTAAACCTAGGTACCACTCACGGCACCAATTGTAACCGGAATTCGCTACATGGTATCAATGCAACTTAGGAAATTCCACGATACCAGTGTAACGAAAATGACCGTAAAAATCCTCTTAAATATCTCACACTTTCTTTATCAATAAAAGCACTTCGCGTTTTATACCTACTTCTTACTAACCAATAAACCTTTTGTATTTCAAATATTTCAAATAGTCAATAGAGTAACTAGCTAAACCAAAAACTTTAATAACAAGAGTTTATTATTAATGAACAGCACAAAATATTTACAACAAAAACTGATATACTAACGACCTTCTTATAAACTTATGGGCCTCAATAAAAATAAGTGCCTACATAACTGTTGTACAAAATCTAGAGCCCGTCCTTTTCAATGCTAAGTCCGAACCTTTGAGAAGGTTCCAAGCCAACTGCTCTACACGTGAAATGCTGGAATTTAAATACACCGCGGTCTGAAGGTGTGTCTCTCTTATCCAATCAAAGTCTGCATTCTATGTATTAACAAAGACAAGGACGTTTCCCAAATCCCTTTATAAAGCTAGATAGTTTCCGAATGTTCAATAAACGATCGTAACCATTTAGAGTTATCTTTATTTTCTAACTCTGTAAAATCTAATTCTACCACACATGTATGCGAGAAAGACATTGTTAGGAAATCCTTTTCTACCCAACAGAGAAGTTGTTGTGAAATCATTTTTATGTTTATTCATGTTGAGTTAAAGAAAATGTTTTCTCTTACGAATGTCTTACTTTGTTAAAACATAAAATATATCTAAATATTGTATCCATTTTGTATAACATATCTTGCCTACGTCATAATGGGCTACGTAAAAAAAAACGTATTACTCCCCTTTACGTTACTTTTAAAGTATGCTATATTTGAGGCCCTTTTCTAGAGAAAAAAAAATGGTCTTATTGTCTACATTGAAATTAAATTATAAGGAATGAAGCTTATTTCAACCTATTCTTTTCGATATTACATAATTTGATAAATAACGTAATATATCACGAAATAAACGTATGGTCAAGGATATGTGTAAGAGGAAACCTAAATCATATGAATATTTCCAATATGCAGTGTTTTTGTTATTCTAAGAATATTTGTCTCTTTATATGTTTTAGCAATCAATTTTGGTGTTGTTGAGGAATTTTACTTCGGTGAAACGTTCTACATTTTCGTTTTCATCTACATCCAGGGTTACTGGCCCTGTTTTACTCCTGTGGGGAGGAAACCGTGTCTGGAACCAAAGAAGTTTCTATTAAGTTTCTGTTTTTTCAGAACAAAATCTAAATCAATATTTATTATATTGATTGGTTGGATTGAGACAAAAGGAAATGAACGCAATTTCCTTGAAAAAGATTCAGCATTTTAAAGAGCAAGCGCCTTATTATGCCTTCTTATTGCATATTGTAATAGTCGTTTTCTGTATTACTATGTAAATATTGCAGTTCATTGTATTCTCTTTCCCTGTATTCTTCATCTGCAAGACTTCCCGATCCTGTTTGTACACTTGCTGACACCAATTCGTGTCTAAAGCTACTTGTGTGTACCTTTTGTTGTTTTCTCTTTTGTTTTCCAACATACCTTAAAAAATATTGTTATGAATATTTGTTAAATTGTGCTTTAATTTGATATGTTTTTTTTTTAGAATTCCGACCAATAAATCTGATACATAGAGTTTTACGAATTTTTAAAACAAAATCCAACTATCGTTTAATCTATTTGAAATAATCTGTGCAATTTACCTTCTTATGCAGTAGGCAAACATTAGACATATGCAGATAGACAGACTGATTGCCAGTATTTCAACTGTTTTCATTGATCCAAAATTACTGTATGCGTTATGATGTTTCACTGAAATTTTACAATTGTTCAATTAAATAAAACAAATTAAGTTTGTCTTTTTTTCTGAAAGGTATTTTTTGCATTAAAAAAATAATGAAACTTGAAAATGCATGGAAAACATAACTGTCCAGACAATCCATTCCTTCCCATCCCTGTTTGCACCCATCAATGCATTCCCCACTGAATCTACTGCAGTTTCGTGATTTGGAGCAAAACATACTGCACTGGTGTTGACAATTTATTCCATAAAATCCAAAATCACACACTATAACAAGATATTGAGATAACAAACAGTATTCAAGCTCAGAATTCATTTAAACAGTGTAAATCAGGATAAGAGCAATTAGAAGATAACCATCCCCTGCATACCTATCACACATAAGTGCTACATGTCATGACTGAGATAAAAATGAAAAATATCATCATTAGACAATTAAGTGTGTAAAAAAAATAACTCCAAAAAAGGTCAACCAGAGACAAATGAAACCCATCAATTTTATCTTATTTCAAGACCTGAATTTTTTTCTAGATTTGGAATTTACAAACAAATCTATCTATTAATCTAACCACCTATCTTTATCCATGCATTTTTACATTGATCCATCTATGTGCCAAGGAAATACTGTATTTACCGTCAAGACATCTTTTCCCATGATAACCTGCCTTACAACCCCCGGCACAAACTCCGTCAATGTTGTTACATCTTCCAGAACATTCCCCACACACACTGCTACAGTTTACTCCAAATCTTCCAAGAGAACATTCTAAAAGAACGGAATGAAATTAATCATGTTATGAAAATGGCTAACTGCAATAAGATATTTAAGAGATGCTGAAAATATTTGCTATTTAACCTACTTTTTTAATCTTCTCCTATAAATTGAATAAATAAAATATTTAAAATTTATCTAGAACCTTCCTTGCAAATGCCTCTCATATATCCGGCTTCACAACCCCTTGGACAATGTCCGTCAATTGTATTACAGTTTCCGAGACATGCTCCACAAATTTCTGTACAATTAGTTCCATAACTTCCTGATGGGCATTCTAAAATGGAAAAAAAAAAATATTTTTTTCTCTCAAACAAAGCAGACTACATTTAATTTACTGAACAATGTTTATCTGGTCAGTGGTATAATTTAGTACTACATTATATTAATCTCAAAAGTCAAAACGTTTAATATGAATAACTTTTAAATTTTCCAAGTAGTATGCCTGCTTTTTTAAGTAGTTCCAAACTCAAGGTTTGTTTTTTTTTTTAGCAAAACAATTAGATGCTTGTTTGATTTTTAATTTTATATTTTTATTTAAATATTTTTAATTCATAGATTTTAATTTGCTTTCACATTTACAGACTGTACAATATATATCTGTTTTCATTCAATGCATACTTTTAGTTCTTCTCCCTTGTAATTCATATTATACACCTAATACAATTCCTCTTTTGTAAATACTAATACATTTGCATTTCAAAAAGCTAAAAAAAAAATGACATCCATGCATTATATGAATCTTCACAGTGACAGCTTTATATGAACAAGAAGAAGGAAAAATGTAGAGGGGTAGAGGTGAAAAAATTGCAGTTGCTCTTGAAAATATGTTCGTAAATTGTATTCTAATTTTTGCATATTTTAACATATAAGGTTTCAGTAATCATTGTAATAGGGATTTGATACCTTCTAAATATCTTTTGAAATTACTCTCTACTTGCATTACATGATAATCCTTTATAGCCTGGTTTGCATCCATTGTAACATCTTCCATTCACGTGATCACATTCTCCTTTACATTTTCCACAAAATTCTTCGCATTCAGATCCATATCTTCCATGAGGACATTCTTTAATATAAAAATGCACATACTAGGTTCATACACACACACACGATAATACATGTGTTTTTGTAATTTTAGTAATATTTACAATAAAAAATTATTTGACTAAAGTTTAGTCAGCATTTGATAGATTTTCTGTGTCAAACAATATTTTACAACAAAAAACTCTAATTTCTATATTATGAAATTAGGATATGATAATTGAGGCTGGACAAAATCTTTATTTAAAAACAGTTTCTTGTGCTGAGAAAATAAATATAATTACATGTATAACAAGTTAAAATCTTTAAGTTTTTCCCCTGCAGTGTGTAAGAAATTAAATGCAAGATATATATATTAAGCGAACGAAACGTTTGAATTTTTTCTAGCAATAAGATTGCATTACTTTTTTCTCAAAATTTTATACTCAGCTGGCATCAGGTGTTTAAACCATCATGTCGTTGAATAGGAAAATCTTATATTCTTAGAAATTGCTCACTGATTTCGCAGTGTACTCAGCATTGCACCGCAGACAGGCACCCGTTTCTGTGTTACATTTCTGACAATGGTTTGGACAAAGAAGTGAACAGTTTTTTTTCCATAATACCCTAGAGCACATCCTGTAATTTTTTTTTTCAGACAGTAAATTAATTAAAAGGAAGGTTCACTTGTACAGAAATGAAATTAAATTAAACAATGGTGATTTTGCACAACATTTAATTTTATTTTATTAATTCTAGAAATTTACCTTAGGAAGTCGAATTCTTACCATAAACTTCTACTTCGCAAAGTTCATTGAAAGCATACTTAGAGTAACCACCTGGGTAAACTGTGTTGTTTATCCTTTCGTTATAATAGATAACAAAGTGGCCGTACAATTGACACGTGATGTTTACAACAGCTGGTATTGTTGACATATTATATTTGTTGTCATGGAAACATAATGTACCATCATCTTTCTTTTCAGTGTCTGATATATAGATAGAGAATCCCAAAAATCTCCCAGCTAAAGAATTATTTTCATCTGTAAGAAAATGTTTATAATTGTATATTATAATGTGAAATAACGATGTGAAATTCCAGTGTTGTAACCGCTATTGAAATAACAACCTCCATAGAAATAATTACATGTATTTTAACAGTGGCTGAAAGTGCATTTCAAAACCAAACGAAGATTGCAACAAGTATTGAAATATCGTTCACTATGGGAACAATGATTTCAATAGAAATAACTTTAACAACTAAACCAGGCTACAACCTCTATAAAAAAAACTTAAAATAAAGTTCACTATTGAAAAAAAAGATTTCAATAGTGATTGAAATAAAGATTTCAATAGTGATTGAAATAAAGCATGCAATAGTGATTGAAATAAAGCTTTCAATATTATTTGAAATAAGGATTTCGGTAGTAATTGAAATAATTATTTTGATAGTTGCTGACAATGATTTCAATACCAAAACCACATTACAAGCCTTATTTAAATAACTTCACTCGTGAAAAAAAATATAAGGATCATTTTTTTAATAGTGGTTGCATCCTTTGTTTGATTTTGAAATGCAATCTCAACCACTGTTGAAATACGATTATATCAATTGTGAACGTTACTTTAATGGTGGTTACAACATGTGTATGTTTTACAATGCAATTTTAACCACTATTAATAATTATTTCACTTGTGGTCATTATGTTAACAGTGGTTGCATTGTTTATATACCAGTAATATGGTGTTGAAAATTTATGAGCTCGAAGGTCCATTTACTCAACGTATATCTAGGAACATAGAAAACATGAACCTTTTAAACATCAGATAAATGATCAGGTTTCATGGAGGAGTAAGCATCCTCATGACTGTTGATCATTGATGCATAGAACATATAGAGAGATATGAAAAAAATTGACTGGTTCATATGCTTTACATGAAAATGTAACTATTTTAAGTATACCCCAAGCATTGTTATCTGTTCTGTAGTAGATCACTATATGATGAATAAACTTTCTCTCAAGCAGGTTGACTCGCCAGGAAGCTATCATATTCTTATTATCAGATATACTACATTACTACAACCACTAACCCTGGGGCCAGATATATCATAATTTTGGAACTTTTATCATAGATTTAATTTCATCATATTAAATGGATTATTAATACCAAAGAACAGATTTCAAAGCATTAATTTATTTCCATACTATATAACCAACCAACACCCCCCCCCCTATACACACTGATACCCCTCCCCCAGGGGCCATGAATAAACCATTTTACCAGATGCATCTTTCATCATCATGGATATATATACTTAGATAATTGGCATAATACTGAGGAGCAAAGGAAAAGATTTTCAAAGAATTCATGCACTTACACTATATCGTCATTAGAGCCCAAACCTAACACCAGAACCCCTTATCCAGGGGCCATAAAATTGAAAATTGTGGAAGAGGCATCCTTCCTCATCATAACTATTTACATAGATCATTGGTTTAATACCCAACAGCAAAGAAGAAGATTTTTAAACGAATAAATGTCTTTCCACTATATAATCAAGAGCCCATTTCTTTTTACTAAAACCCCTGACCCAGGGGCTATGATATTCTTAAATTTGGTTGAGGCACTCTTGCTCATCATAACTATGTACTTAGTTGGGTTATTTAAGACCCAGGAGCAGAGGAGAAGGTTTTCAAAGAATTAATGTATTTTCATTATTTAATTAATCAATAGAGCCCACCCTAACACCAGAACCCCCTACCCAGGGGCCATGAAAATCACAATTTTCAAACAGTTATTCTTCGTCATCTTGGTAATTATAACTTTGTACTTGGTTTCTTTATTTAATTCCCAAAAGCAGAGAAGATTTTCAAAGAAATAATGCATTTTTACTATATGATCTATATAGCGATACCCTAACACAAAAGCCCCAGAACCAGGGGCCATGAAAACCACAATTTTGGAAGAGGATTCAAAACTGATTACAATCATGTCAACGGTTTGATTGTTTGAAGTTCAGGAGTAAAGAAGATTTTTTTTCAAAGACTGCATTAATTTTTGTGGTTTTTGCCCAAACTCTCAGGTGACAGGGAGGCAGGGACCATGAAATTTATAATTAATGTTACCCTTTACCCATAGGTGCCGTGTAACAAATTTGGTTAAAATTGGTTCAGTGATTCCTGAGAAGAAGCTAAAATGATCAAATGTTAACACACGACGAACGACTCAGGACGCAGAAGGAAAGACGCACATCGCACGACGACGGACGAAAACGGATAGCAATAGGTCACCTGAGTTTATATGAATTTACTCAGGTGACTTAAAAACTATACGGTTAATTTTGATTATTTGATTTACATAAACATGATTCAAATTTTTATATTATTTTTTTGCAAAAGTTTGTTTGCATCATCTGTCCTTGATTAAGTGCAAATATGATAGAGATTTAATTGTTTATTGACACAAGAAACACCTGTTTAATTAAATTACAAAAAAATGTATCATGAATGTTTGGTCTATTTTTTTCATGATTTAGGATAAACTGTCTTCAACATCCAGTCTTATATTACATGCGATAAATTTATCGGGGAAAAACAAGAGTAAAGGACACAACTGAAGCAAACAGTCTGAAAGTAATGGATAGTGAGACAACTGCAGGGAAAACATGACATTCCTCTTATCTCTGTAGCGGATAAAAGGAAAAGAGAAATTTTAGTTACCTTCCTCACATAAATCTCCCTGATACCCGGTTTGGCATCCTTCGGAGCAAGTTCCATTTATATGGTAGCACTCCCCAATACACATACCACAAATCCCTTTGCATTTTTCTCCAAACTTTCCAGGATCACACACTAATAACAAACAGGTGCGTTCAGTTTTTATGATAATAACTCGGGAATAACAAAAAAAACTTGCTTGGATGATTTATTTGATACATATATATTTAAAGAAGTTAAATATGAGTATATAAATCAACGAAATTTAGTGTAGCATCAATACTCTAAGGTAAACTAACAGAGTTTCGTTACACATGATTCCAGTGATAACACATGCAGAAGAGATCAATCCGAATTAAGTGTCACGCTAGATTGTTTTCGAAGCCCACCCCCTCCCTACACTTTGAAATACTTGGCTGTAACCTGTCACAAGCTAATTGGATTCCTGAAAATGGAAATATCAAATGTTGCGATGTTATTTAGTAAATAGTAATACAAATGCGTGTAGCATTAAGCTAATTTATTTCGTTTATGTACAATATATATATATATATGCAGAATATATCTATGTAATTAATACATATAGAAACAACCCTAATACGTAAACTTTATTGGGTGATATAACTGATCATCTAGAAGCTAACATATCTTACTTCTACAACATGAATAGATGGAATGAAATATGCGTATATCGCATCTTCCTCTGAAACACAATGCAATTCCTTCTAGCTTTAAAAAAAGACAGTCTTATTTTTTTTTCCTCACTGATTGCATTTTCCACTATAAAAGAGAATTGTTTCATCTCTTTATTCCAAACCAATATTATATTTGTTTTTTTTTTCAATTTAATATGGATTTGATTAGCTTTTCGTATTTAATTCAATTCGACATAGATCTTATTTTCAAATGTTAAAAAGCCCCTATATCATCTATTATCATAATTGATAAGCCATTCTGTGAAACATTTTAATGTTATCAAAGATTACGTGTAGAGCCTAAATACAGCTTATTTGACAAAAAATTATAACAGAGGACATATGTCTGCTATCATCTGATTGCATAAAGACTTACGTAATTCGCAATTTTTTTCCTTGAAATCCTGCTTTACATTGATTACATTCACCTGTTTCTATGTCACATTCTCGGCAATTTTTTAAACAAGGAAGAAAACAATCTGAACCATAATAACCTTCTATAGGGCATCCTGTAAAAGAGGAAATGTTTCATAAATTAAGTAAACTAAAATATATAGAATTTTGAATATTCCAACACTAATTAGATAGAAATACTATGCTGAATAAAAATATTATATCTGAATTATTATTTTGATGAGTTTGACATTAATGACTAATACTCATTATAGAACTACATATGTAATATACCGTAAACTTCAACTTCACATAGTTCACTATAAGCAGTTCTAGAGTAGTCCTGGGGATATTCTTTCGAGGGAATTCTTTCATTATAATAGATAACGTATCGTCCGTGAACGGTACAAGTAATGTTGACAACATCTGTAATTGTAGTGATATTGTATTCTTCGTCATGGAAACACAACATTCCATCTTCTTTTTTTCGTGTATTTGAAACAAAAATCGAGAATCCAAGAAATCGCGTCGTTAAGGAATTGTCGTTATCTGGAATAAGTATTCAACACTATATATACATCTATAATATGATGAGGTATTTGGCATAATTTTAATCAATTGACAGTCTTAATAATATTAAACGTAGTGTATATACATTTTCATATATTAACAATAAATTAAAAAGTATAAGTCATGTGTCGTAAATCATTCACTCATTCTTGCTCATTCAACTCACTAATCCATTTCAAAGGGAAGCATATCTTCTTCTGAACGATTGATAATGAATATTATTATATTAGAGTAATATATAGTCGATGTATTAATGAACAGTTTTAATAAAATTATCTTACCCCATGGGAAGTTCTGTAATATATAACAATATGGTGGATACTACGTATGGCTTGAAGATCAACCCACCAAGTGGCTGTTGTTTGACTATTGGCGGATATAGAACATTGGTATCCGAACCAAGAACGATTAAATTTAAGTCCATCAACGGCCTTTTCTGGTCCAAGTTCAGGGTTATTGAAATGCGTTATAGCTTGCCATGCAGGTTTACGGTATGCTAAGTTTTCTAAATCTAACACAACAATGTTTTTTACTAGAATATTTATTGCAAAATAATTTTGAAAAGTCCTAGGTTTTTTCATTTATCCTAAGAGACACATAAAATCAAAACCTGAGGTATGAAACAAAACGAAAAACTTACCATACGGACAAGATTTTCTCAAAAATGCAAAAACTATAATCATCCTAAAAATCATGTTGATCCAACAATCTCATGCAACATCTCAATAATGTGGAAATAAATAGATCAACTTCCTGTTTAGCAACACCTGCTTAATTTGATTCACATATACCTATTTTATTTGATCAAACTAGAAAAAAAAACCTGGCGAAAACTCCGATATTTGTTCAAATAAATGCAAGTTGTAACTTCAAAAGAGTGTGTCAAAATGTTAAGAATATAATGTTTATGGTGAATATAATGGCTTATTGATTAATATTCCTCAACGCCGAGTCAGCAGTGTATCAGCCATACTTCGGCGAGTGAATACAATGAGCCTGTCAGCAAATATACTCTATCATTTAAGTTAAATGTTGATTCACTTTTATTTCTACTTATTTAAAGACGATTATCCTGATTATATACACATTGAATTGTTCCGAACATGACAGGTACAATACGGTGTATGCGGCCGGACGGCGGGGGATGCTCACTCCTTCATGGTACCTGATCCCACTTCTGAAGTTTTAAAGGTCCCTACTTCTGATTTGTATTGTTTGGTTTGACTTTTTTGAGCACGATAATTATTCGTTTTCTCCATATTATCATTATTCAACTATTAGGAATGTTAACACCCTTCCCCGCAGTCACGCATTTTAACGCATATACCATTTCCTAACGCAAAATCACGCATTTACCGTTTCCCCGCAATCACGCATTTTCACGCACTTTAAAATGTTCATTTAATCTTCAATTTATTGCCAAATTCCAATCATTTTATACTTGCTTGAATCTCATAAAATTAGAAATGTTATTTTCTAATTAGAATATTATTTCAGAATATTATTTACGCTAAACTTTAGAGAAATTTGCACCCCGCTATAAAGAGCTTGCGGGGAAATGGTAAAGTAATATTTCTATGACGTGAGGATTCAATGTAAGTTGCATAACAATTCTGTAAGTTGTAAAGAGTTAAAAAAATAAACACCGACTTTAGAACTTGAACCTGATTAAGCCGCTAAACTATTAAATTTAAATCGAGGATTTATCGTCAATATATTTAAACGGATTATGAAATATGTGGATATAACGAAGGAGGTAAAAAGTTTATCAAACATTACAAAACAGAAGCAAAGCAAACACTAACCTCCAATACATCAGAGGTGGGATCAGGTGTCAGGAAGGGGTGAGCATCCCCTGCCAATCGATCTGATCACATGGATGCAGGAAATAACGAGAAAATCCGTTGACAATTCAGAGTGTAGCCTTAGAATAAGAACAAGAAACTTCAGTTAGCATTTGACTCAATGATATATTGTATTTGCTGATAAGGTCATTTTATCGACCATGGGACTTCCCTAACAAAAAAATACTATAGTTACCTATAGTTAACTATAGTTTACTATAGTTAACTATGTAAATCAATGTGTCAAAGTTTTCGTCAAAGTTTTTCAAAGTGTCAAAGTTTTCGCCAAAGTTTTTCAAAGTGTCAAAGTTTTCGTTAAAGTTTTACAAAGTGTCAAAGTTTTCGCCAAAGTTTTTCAAAGTGTCAAAGTTTTCGATAAAGTTTTTCAAAGTGTCAAAGTTTTCGATAAAGTTTTTCAAAGTGTCAAAGTTTTCGATAAAGTTTTTCAAAGTGTCAAAGTTTTCGATAAAGTTTTTCAAAGTGTCAAAGTTTTCGAGAAAGTTTTTCAAAGTGTCAAAGTTTTCGATAAAGTTTTTCAAAGTTTTAAAGTTTTCGATAAAGTTTTTCAAAGTTTCAAAGTTTTCGATAAAAATTTTTGGAGTGTTAAATTATCCAAGTTTTCGATAAAGTTTTTCAAAGTATCAAAGTATTCGATTATGTTTTTTATTCAAAGTTTCAAAGTTTTGGATAAATTTTTTTGAAAGTATCAAAGTTTTCGAAAAACTTTTTCAAAGTGTCAAAGTTTTCGATAAAGTTTTTCAGAGTTTCAAAGTTTTCGATAAAGTTTTTCGGAGTGTTAAATTATCCAAGTTTTCAATAAAGTTTTTCAAAGTTTTCGATAAAGTTTTTCGGAGTGTTAAATTATCCAAGTTTTCGATAAAGTTTTTCAAAGTTTCAAAGTTTTTGATAAAGTTTTTTATTCAAAGTGTCAAAGTTTTAGATAAATTTTTTGAAAATATCAAAGTTTTCGAAAAACTTTTTCAAAGTGTAAAAGTTTTTTATAAAGTTTTTCAAAGTGTCAAAGTTTTTGCCAAAGTTTTTCAAAGTGTCAAAGTTTTCGCCAAAGTTTTTCAAAGTGTCAAAGTTTTCGCCAAAGTTTTTCAAAGTGTCAAAGTTTTCGTCAAAGTTTTTCAAAGTGTCAAAGTTTTCGTCAAAGTTTCTCAAAGTGTCAAAGTTTTCGTCAAAGTTTTTCAAAGTGTCAAAGTTATCACTATAGTAAATCAAAGTTTTCAAAGTGTCAAAGTTATAATTATAACTATAGTTAACTATAGTAAACTATAATTAACTATAGTAAACTATAGTTAACTATAGTATTTTTTTGTTAGGGTTACGAAACGATCACTTTCAACTAGACAGCTGATATTTTTGTATCGAACTGAAAGATTTAAACCCGGTGTGCAGGTGAAGAAGGTAAATTGCTGCATAAGAAAGGGAAGTTGGCATTTGAAAGTTAAAATCATCTGGTTTATCTTAAAGATGTTTTTTTCTCTAGATTACCATAAACGACGTTTTCAAGAAAATATGCAAATATAAAAGGTTTGTTAGACTCTTTCGTATCGTCTACCTCAAGCTCACCGGAAAATATATTGTATCGACTTAATGGTGGAAGTAATCATTAATACGCAAGTTTCAAGATTAGGCCTAGAAAAAAAAATATGTTTGTTTCCGCTTTCAGGCTGAAAAAATATAGGGTAGGTAGGTAGGCAATTGTTTTTTTTTTTGAATTTTTTTTTTACTTCTTTAATCAAAACATGTATAGGAGACTAGAGTAACATTAATAACAAAAGAAATGGTGTTTTCAAGCATTTCTGTGACTTAAACTTATAATAGAAAGGTGACTCAAACTTCTTTCTGTCTTCAAAAGCTTGCAAAATTGGAGACTATAATTCCCTGGGTGAAATCTTGCACTTCATGGGTCAGGGACAAAAGCATTAAAAAAAATTTTAGGGTCGGCACTATATATTAGGGTCGGTCGGGAAAGCGGAAACAAACATATTTTTTTCTAGGCCTTACCTTCCTTGGTGCGCGCTTTCGTTGAGGAGAGGAGTTTCCTTTCCGCATAACAGACAAGTGGGAAAGGTATATATGTATAATTATATAATATTGAATGCATTGTATCATCGATATACGTACGGTTGTATCATAACCATGTTAACTTACTAGTGATTTTCAGGATGCAATCTTCAACACAAGAATAATAAATGTTACATGTAAGACGTCATTTTTAAAACAAAATACAATCGGAACAAGAAAGAAAATATTAGTGGATGAAACATATGTAAGACCTCCCAGACAACGAAAGGGATATGGACCTTTGATTAATACGGAACACATGCATCTGATCATTGTAAATGACAAAATGATTTTTGTCGCCCGCTTTCACTGAAATTGAGGAATATTAATTTGGATCCGTCCGTCCGTCCGTCCGAATTTCTGTCTGTCTGTCACGCTTTCGTTTCCACACGATATCACTAGAACCCTTTAGCTTTCGCAATGAAATTTTGCATAACAACTCCCTTGGGCCTAAAAAAAAAACTCTATTGAATCTGAGGTCAAAAACCCCTATTGATTTTGAGGCCAAAAGGTCAAAGTACAAGGACGTAAATTTATACTTTCCGTTTCTGTTACACTGTCGCTTCTGGGCGATATGGAGCATATTAACGCATTTTGAAAAAAAAAATGTGTATGGCTTGGTCAATACTCTTGAAAATCTTAGGTACTGCTGGATAACTTTTCGGTGATAAGTCACTTTAGGATGTGAAAGTGAGCGGATATGATTTTTCCATACTTGGAAAATTCTTTCTCTCTTAAATATTTAACTGTACTTAATTTTTTCTAGTTTGCATGTATTTAATCTAAACTAAAATTTATTGAAAGTTTTCAACAGCACACTTGTTATGCAAATGCGTATACGTATTTGGGTGTAGCATAGGCAACAGTACCGGAAAGGGGGGGGTGTTAATCACACAAATGTTTTGCAAAGATATACATGATACAGGAATTAAAAATCGGAGCTTACCTGGGCGTTGGTGGTTTTTCACTTTCAATTTGCTACCTAGGTTAAATAGGCTTTTTTTTTCGAAAGATGTAATTATTACATATTGATTCTCTCAATTACTAAAATCTAAGTCTAGAACTTTTGTTTTATACATTTTTTTTTTTCAAAGTGCGTTAAATGTCTACATGGTTAAAATGTTGATGTACATTCTTAACGCACGTACGTTAATTGTGTCCCACTTGTAATGCACTTTGAAAAAAAAATTCAAAGTGCTTAATTTTTTCAAAGTGCATTGCCACATATAGTATTCAGCATGTGAAATGAAAAAAAGTTATTACGTCTGGTTTGTACAAAGTCATAAAATCATCATTACAGAGTGATAAATGTTTTCTATAAAATCAATCTTCTATACACATAATAAAGAATAAGCAATCAAATCTTCATATCCATACTGACATTTTCTAATTGCTTCAATATACTAGTACATGCACACATTTAATAATTCTACAAATTTAGGGGGATCCGACCCCCCCCCCCTTAACTGCGAATGGTCTTCTGTTTCCCTAAGCGGGGGACACAAATTCTCTGAATAAGCTTGTTTCACTTATTATAATCTCAAAGTATAACTTCAAAGAACTCAACTTTTTAGAAATGTTTGTACAATCAAGGAAATCTTTTACTTTTTTTACAGACAAGGACGGTTCTTTTGTTTTCAAGTATCCTAATTGAAAGTAGATTAGTTAATATGCATGATTGAGATTGATAAAATCATTAAATGCATCACTGCGTTACATTATCATCTTTTTATAACATTAAATGAATTTTGAAAGCCATAAATATCGTTCGTTTATTT